TTGTAAAAACTGAAACTGGTTTTTTGGTACTCCAGCAGAACGGAGAAAATTAGATCGAAAAACAACTCGTTATGGGACGGTAGGGAAATGAGTAAAGTCAAGTATATGCTCTATGCACTTCAAAAGGGAAATATTCAGTAGCTAAATGATTCACAGTACCGATGGATCCAAAAGTTTGGTGCGTTGCTATGCGGTTTTTCTTGGGGAGCAGTGAGAGGATATCGCATCAAGTAGATTTACCGTCATCCGATGCTCCTTAGCCAAAACATTTAGGTTACTATCAAGCTATCACCAAACATTTTGTGTCATGATGCTCTTTGGAGACGTCCACCTGTATAAACTTCAGTATATTCACTGCAACTGCTATCACCTCAAGTTGGGATCGAAGAAACACCATGGCTGTTGGGATTGTCAAGTGGTGGTGGCGCAGTGGTTTGGTCACGGTCACCAGCAGGCTTTGGACTCAGTGATCCGGGGTTTGAACCCAACTTTGGTGATAGGTAGCTTCGTTGTCATCCGGCTCAGTACCGCGCCCAAACTGTCGAGGCCTTATGTGGTGGGCTTAGGTTAAGGGTTTTCATCACTGAACAGCAGGTCTCTTAACTGTGGACTTTACCCCGTCTGCTATTTATCACTCAAAGTTGTGCAGTAAAAGAAAAGTACGGAATCATCACAAAGCTTAACAATCGAAAAAAACCTCGATTTATTTTGAATTTTTGAATGGATCAGTGGGTGGTAAGGTAGATACCACAGTGGTTTTTCTTTCGATGCACCTGTGTTTACTCGATCTATGCAACCAATATTAAGCTTGTGATTCAGTACCTCACAGTAAATTTTCTTCAGATCGGGTCCCTTTCACAGACACCTTTCCATATAGCTGTACATCAAAAGAGCCATCTCACGGTTATTGGCGTCGCGAGGACCCGGAGCGTTAGGAAAGGAATCTTTTAGGAGTCCCCGTAGTGGAGGTTCCTCAACAACGATAACNCGAGCAAATTCGGTCCATAATCATTGGTCAAAATCACAAATTCGTAATTTTACATTTGTTCAGTCTAGCTCGTTTTTGGTGTTCCCGTAACTTATCATCATCATCATTCTCCAGCAAGATACAATGAACTTCACTGATCACTGCCAAGCTGACAATCTACACAAATCAAGTGATAAAGCACTAAATGGAGAGGGATTGGACCTAATTGGAGGAAGGCAAAGAAAGTGAACCTCTATGGTCAACGCACAGAGTACACAATTTAAGTGTGCATTCATGCCTTTTCAAGGATTCTGACGTGATAGGAATTGACAACACGAACGCCACTGCTGTCCGTTAGTCGCCATATTCTCCAGTGTTTCCAACCAATCAGTTGTAAAGTCTTTTGGACATCAACCTGGAATACGGGAGACACCTATTCTACCTAATCGCTCTGTGCATTTATTCATGCCTCGCTTCCACGTTATCTGTTGACCTCCACACGGTTTCTTCCAACCTGGAGCAGCGACTACGAATAAGGCGCGGTGCGGTAGACAATGGTTAGATATGCACAATACGTGACCTAACCAGCGAAGCCGACTAAGCTGAATTCGATGGGGCAACGAATTCTCCATCAAATCATTACCGAATATGCTTACATGCTCGCTCCACCTAACCCGCGCCATACTACATAAACATCGGCAGTCGAAGACTTCTAGACGACGAATATCCTCCACGCGCAAATTTAGGGCCTCACAACCATAGAGCAGAACTGACCACCCACTGGGGCAGTATACGCAACCTTCAAGTTTCAACGAAACATCGAGTCTGCACCAAAGGTGTTTCAATCCTGCGTAAGCTGCTCGAGCTTTCGAAATCCAGGCGATTACTTTATTGACTATGCTACCGTCATTTGAAACGCGGCTACCTAAGTAGGTGAAACACTTCACCGTAGCTAATTCTGGACCATGAAGCATCAGTGCTGGGGTAGACGACACCCACTCTTGTAGCATCATTTTGCACTTTGAAGATGCAAGTGCATAACGAATGAAGTTACAGAACTTAAAAGTCTATCAAGAGCGCTTTGCGCATCCTCAATACATTCGAACAGGCATACGATGTCATCAGCGTACTCTAGATCGCACAGATTTTCTCCAGCTACCCATTTAATACTAACATTTCGGAGACTCTTAAGTGCGTTCCCCAGTATTTTGTCTACGACGAAATTAAACAGGAATGGCGAAATAGGACACCTTTGATGAACACCGCTCCGGGTTTCGATTGATTTGCTTATCCCATCGTATATCCTCACGCTACCAGAAGTATGCAGATACAACGACCGCAGTAGGTTTACATACTTCCGCGGCATTCCTTTGTGAAGCAGCGACCCCATAAGAGCCTCACGGTCAACTGAATCGAAGGCTTTTTAGGTTAAGGAACACTGCGCTTGTTGGCCGACGATTTGTGACGTAATTTGAGGACTTGACGCGACGCGACCTGGTCGGAATCCGGCCTCCTGTTCGCGGATATTCATCTCCCTTAAGGGTGTCAAACGCCGAATTATCACAGAAGTCAACACTTCTGCGATTATCAGAATTAAACTAAGCTCCCGGTGGTTTGCGCAGACGTCCTTCTTGAAGATCGGAGCGATCAACGATCCACCCCAGAACAAACGGATACGCTCATCCAACCAAATGCTGCGAAGCAAGCCAGTAATCGAGTCGACAAGTGAATCACCGTCCACCCTGAAAAGAACATAGAGAAACCCATCAGGTCCCACAGCCTTCCCTTGCTTTACTGATTGAATGCAGCTTAATACTTCCAATTCTTACGGGGGTTCACATGTCATCACCCTTCGGGTTTCCACTAGAATTGCTGGAATGACCACATTAGCACTAGGTCAGTTGAACTGTTCACTAAAATACTCTGCCCAGCGACTAACTCGTTCTTTATTGTGGATACGCTGTCCACTTTTATCGCAAATAGTCTCACTGACCGGTATGCGATGACTTCCGGTACTGCGTATCATGTGAAGCAGTCTTTCACTATTCCCTGATGCAGAAGCTACCTCCTTTTCACTAGCTATTTTGGCCCACCAGTTTTCGCGATCTTCTTAAGGCTTTTCCTGAGTTTATGGTGCAAATTAGGTGCCCGTTAACTTGGATCACTTACTCCTCCAACACATTTTACCGACTGAGACGACAAATCAAGTCGAACCCCCAACCTGGAGGACCAGGAAACTGGACTTCGTCTGACCTCTACCCACTGACCTTCCAGGCATGATTAGAACTATAGCTCGTTGGGTTACAGAGGTGCGCAAACCATTACACCACGTCAAGGTGCAGTCTCGTGATGGAATAAGTAAGTGCAGGTTAAAGTAAAAATGAAGAATATAATATGGAGGAAGGGAAGTTAAAGTGAGTTCACCTTAGTAAAAAGCGGTCACAATCAATGATCTAATATGTTAAGTTTTGTCGAATTACGCTTATTATTGTAGTTGTTACGTGCCTGATTCCAGACTGTGTACCAGACAAATCACTATACAGCAATAGTTGTAACAAACTGTCGGTCCTTACTTAGCTCATGAAGGGAATACTGCAAGGTTTGCCAGACCTAGGTAGAGGAACTTTCTCGGGATAGAAGATCACAGACGGAGCCTCCATCTAGCCAAAGCCTGATCCGCTGGGGAGGGGGCGTTACCCACTTCAGATCATAAACCCTTTGAATGGAGTCAAACGTCCAGGGTGCCCGATACACTTCGATGCTCAATCCAGTCAGTGACCACTTTCACCACCAAGAAAGTGTGGGTCTGGTTGGTACTCCTTTTTTCGTTGATTAGGAGCTGAAAGTTTTATCCTAATCCCTAAAGTAATGAGTGGCTGGAAATCACCTGCGAACAAGACGCTACTTCATCCTTGGGCTGAAAGAGAGAATCAATGAGCTGTCACTCAATCGCTAGCACCTTCCAAAGGAAACGGCCCGACCGAAGCTCTTAGAGAGAAATATATGTTTGCTAATGCCTTTCCCCCTAAATTCTCCTTTAAGATGATAGCATATTCAGAATACATCGTTACAAATGAAAATATCTTTTCATCTTTCTTAATTGTCTGTTCTAAATGGTTTTAATACGTCTATCCATTGTCCTTGTTGTTTGTGGACCTGAAGATTTCAGCCGGCATATAAGAACGTTTACGTTTGCATCTTTCAGCTAAACCTTTTCCAAGGCTTTTCTTTTGCTCAGTCTCTTGTATATCCCTTCTCTCAACCATGCCTATCTTCAGTGCAGCCTAGATGGCCAGCTAAAACAATGGCGACTGAATCATGATGATGTTCCTTCGGCCTGGAAACAACCTCTGTCGTCTGTGCTTATGAAATGGGCTCCACATTGCATGGATCATCATCCTACTGATGACGAATTGCTTATCGGTGGTGCTGAATCTTGTCTACTCTATTCTGCCTTACGAATGGATGTTCCGATTCGTGAATGGACATGGGGTCGGGAACCTGTGCATTGTGTAAAGTTTAATCCTGTGGAATGTAATGTTGCCTGTGCTCTTCTGAAGGACAACTCCCTGATGCTTCTCGACAGCCGACAAGATCTTCCTTTGAGAAAGGTAATACCCATCTCTAACAGTTATGCTTTCACTGTTTGTTTTGTTTTTGTTTATTTAATGTACGATTGCACAGTCAAAGATTACCCTGGAAAAACAGATTGGTGACGGTAGAAGGATTCGGATAGATCTGTTATTTTAACGTTAATCGCTGAACCACTGCAACCCAAAATGACGTGTAAAAAATGCATGAATGAATTCTCAAAGCAATTAGGTTGAGTAGGTATCTCCCGCCTTCCGGGTGTGGGTCCATTTGACTGCGATTGATCGCCTGGAGACTGGATGACATGGCAACGAACCAGCAGCAGTGGTGTTCTTGTTGTCTTTTCTTATTAGGCCAAAAACGTATGTATAGTTAGATTGTGTACTCTGTGTTGACCATGGAGAGTCATTTTCTTTCACCTCCTTCAAAACAGATACATTCCATCCACATTCCGCATTTTCTGATCTATTTTGTGTACTTGGTGAGCTTTACAGGGATCAGTTCAGTTCAGCTTTTACAACCATTAATTATGCACTTTCCTGTGCCGGTTTTGGTTGCTATCTCACGACTGCCAATTACAGCTAAAGAGTAAAGAAGTAAAGATCAGAATGTTCAAATCAGTGATGGCAGTGGTGGTAGGCAGCTCTGTTGTCCGGTTCAGTACCACACCTAACCTATCGGGGCCTTACGTGGTTCGCCACTCCAATACCCGGGGCTTAGGTTGCTGGTTACCATCTCTGAACTGCAGGTCTACGTGACTATGGGGTCCACCCCGTCTTCGGTTCATCACACACTAGTGTTTAATAAAAAAGTTAAACGTAGATCCAAAGTGGGGTTGGCCCCGGTGGTAAAATCACCAAATAGTGACCCCGGAAGACGTGTCTGAATCCCACCACCTGACTTTCCCCATTGAGTGTTATATGGCAGCCCCTTCGTCGGCCGCTTCATCCTTCGTGAAAATTGCATCATTATGTATTCAATAAAAAAAGTAAAAATGAAAAAAGTAAATTCCAAGTCAAATCGGTTTTGGAGTTTTGGTGATGCTTGTAATGCTGATTGGTAGATTGTTTCTAAACTTTTGGGTTCTCTTTTCATTCTGACTTCCTTTTAAAACCAAGCGTCACTCACCTTTTTTCAGACACTTGTTCATTTCAACATCAAACATTCCAACGGTTGCTCTCTAACATGTCCATTTGAGCTAAAGTTCAATGGAACAATGTTGATGGTGACGCATACAATAGAATCGATATTTGCTACCTGTCGGGGCTCGTATCCAAGATCCTACTATTATTAACCACTTGAGCGCGCTAGGTTTGTCTTCGAGGTACATTCTTCGCACATCAGGCGACGATGAAGCTCGCTCAGTAGACCAGCTTGTGGTGGTTATGGTACTCAGCAACAGGACGAAGTCCTCTCTTATGGATTGGATCCCCGTCAACAGTCGTTTATGTGCAGTGCGTCTCCAGGATTCAATCAGCGTCCGGAAAGGAAGCAACACCAAAAGGTGTTTTTTTCATCGCATCAGCACATGCACCGACTAGTTGCAGTTCTGATACCCAAAAGGACGCCTTCTACGACGAACTCACCGATCTCATTCGGATGAATCGAAGCTCCGACNGCAGGTGACTTCAGGTTGGAAAACTCAGCTCATCAGACGCTTGCCCAGGCGGTAGCTGTGATCTGCCCAGCCAACGAACAGATAACGGCGATCGATTTCTTCAGTTTTGCGCAGATCATCATCTGTTCCTATATAGCACACAGCTCTCGACGGATGGCAACGTGGTGCTCCAGTTCAACTAGTACGCTAACTTAAATCGACCACATAGTAGTAAGTTACCACTGGCGTGGCTCACTGCAAAATTGCAGGTCCTATTGGACCACCTGCGTTGCGTCTGACCATGCATTAGTTGTGATGTAGTTCATGCGAACAGTTCAACTGGCCTGCCACCATACAGATCACTTCATCTGCAACGGGAGCTCCTTGGGCAGCGTCGTGCGGTTCTCCAACAGAAGCAGAAGTTCGGTCATACGTCCCAGCTCTGAAGCGAAGAAAGGCAGTAGGACCGGATAAGCTCCCTCCCACTATTTTCAAAAGGGGGGCGGGGTGTTAACATTGTAAGCTTTATTAGCACCGTACTGCGCAATATTTGGGCACAAGAACGCATTCCTTCATCTTGGGGCAAGTTACTGATCGTTTGCATTTTCAAGAAACGATCCCTCAACGATTGCAAAAACCACCCAATCGTCACCAAATTGCTAGCTTCGGTTATACTTCGACGTCTGATGCCTTTAAGAGAGACCAACATCCGTGAACAGCAAGCCGGTTTCCGGCCTGGCTGTGGATGTGTCAATCAAATTTTTACTTTGCGTCAGATCCTTGAGCTGCTTCACACCCACCGTCGGCCAACGATCGCAGTGTTCGTTGACCTAAAAGGAGTCTTCAACTCAGTTGACCGCGAAGCTCTGATAGGCTTCCTTCTTCAAAAAGGAATGCCCCAGAATTACATTAACCTACTGAGGTAATTGTACTCGCATACTTCCGGTCGTGTAGGGATTTACAACGAACGTCGCAAGCAGCGGCGTTCGTCAAAGGTGCCCTCTTTCGCCGTTCTTGTTCAATTTCGTTGTAGACGAAATACTGGAGAACGCACTCAGTGAACTCCAAAACGTAGGTATTGAATAGGCAGCTGGAGAAAAGCTGTGCGATTTGGAGTACACCGATGACATCGTCTGTCTGTTCGGATGTATGGGGGACGCGCAAAGCGCACTTGATAAACGTAAAAGTGCAGCAGCCACATTTGGTATGTGCTTTGCACCTTCAAAGTGCAAAGTGATGCTGCAGGACTGGGTTTCGTCTGTTCCCGCTCTGAAACTAAATGGCCAGGAATTAGCTATCGCGTGACTAATGACAGTAACGCAGCAGTGCGAAGACTCCTTCCGACATCGAGAGGAAGCAACCGATACCCCGCTCTTTCGTCCATCTAGCAGGGTTTGTTGACCGATAAAGGGCCCCCTCACCATGTTTATTTGTTGGAGTGGCCTCTTCAGGGATCGTATCGGAAACGCAAATCCAGGATACTAGTACCATTAAGCCACTGGGGTTGTCTTCGAGTTTCTTTCTCCGCACGTCACGTGATGACGAAGCCCGTTCAGTAGGCTAGCGTGGCGTTGACATTGTACTTACTAATACAGCCGAAGCTGCTCTACTCGAATGGATCACGGTCAACAGTCGCTTATGTGCGATGCAGCTCCAAGGGCCTATCAGCGTCCGGAAGGGAAGCAACACCAAAAGGTGTTCATCATTTCAGCGTATGCACCGACCAATTGTAGTTCTGACGCACAAAAGGACGAGTTTTATAATAAACTCACCAAACTCATTCGTTTGAGTCGAAGTTTCGATATAGTTGTTCTCGCAGATGACTTTAACGCGCAAGCTGGATAAATAGGCGCATCGAAAGCCTGCCTAGGCGGTCATTGTGCTCTGCCCTGCAAGCGATCAGATAATGGTGGTCGACTTTAGTTCTGCGCAGATCATTATCTGTTCCTATCCAGCACCTACTTCCGACACAGCTCTCAACGTACAGCAATGTGGCACTCAGATTCAACTGCTAAGCTAACTCGGATCGACCAAATAGTAGTCAGCTACCGTTGGCGTGGCTCAGTATAAAACTGCAGGTCCTATTAGACCTTTTGTGTTGAATCTGATCATGCATTGGTTTTGAAGCGGTTCACTCCAACTCACCCGTCGCAGAAAGCCCCACCAAACTCGATTGGCAGATCATCGTTTATCTGACTCAGCCGTTCGTGTCCGTTTTGAATCAGAACTGGGGCAAGAGCTAAACGGGCTGCGGGGTGGTAGTGTAGATGAGAAATGGGATCAATTTAGACAAGCAATGCACTCCGCAACGAAAGTTCCTTGTGAACATAAAGCGTTAGCCCGCCTGAGGCATTGGATATCTGATCGGTCAGTAGCACTGATGGAGTAAAAGCGACAACTCCTGACTGCCCAAGATCAATGCACGGGTAGGTGGTGTCTGGGACGTCACGTGTCCGGTAGTGTTAGGCTGGGTGAGGAAATTTGGGCTACAGCTCTGCTCCCGCCTTGTATTCTGTTTCATTCCTTCCAAAAGCCTCAATATTGTCCGGGGTGGGTGTCTAGAGTTGTAGCTAGTCACCCTTCCCTTGCACCTCGCGAAATGCTCCCATACGACCAAGCGTCTCGAACAGCCTCTGCTGAGAAAGCCCTACTTGCTGCCTTCTCGTGGCGGAGGTGCTTTCCCACCGAAGTGAGAAAACGAAGAGTCGACATTTGAGGCTATAACCGGGTTATGAGGCCACTGGTAGTTCACCTAGGGTAGTTGGCCTAAAACCGTAATTCCAAACCAACCAAGAGGGGGTGTACGAACCACACACCACTTCCTGGTTGTGGCAGTGGTCACCGGCTCAATTGGGTATCGAGGTGCATTGGGCGCCTTGGACGTTTGATCCCGTCCAAGGGACGTATGATCAGATGAACTGGACACCGGCTCCCAATGGATTGCGATTTTCACACCACCCCGCTGCCTTGCGGGTCAGGCTTTGGCTAGTCAAAGGCTCCGGCTGTAGACTCCTCAAGAAAATTCGCCTGCCTTGGCCTGGGTAACCTGGCAGTATTCCGCTAACACGCAAATCATGGAACGTTTTTCTTTTTCATCAAGATCATTGTATCATAATTTGTTTGGGACAGTCTGGATTCACATGTGTGTGAAAAATATAAAATATAATATCAGTCAGTAGCACTGATGAAGAAAATGCGGTAATTCCTGACCGCCCAGAATCAAGGCAGGGGTAGGTGACGTCTGCAACGTCAACTCGAGAAGAGCCTCAAGGAAGATCGTGAGTACTGGTTGCCAGCGATAGCTAGTGAATTGGAAGTCGCAGCTGCATCAGGGAACAGTCAAAGACTGATCCAACTGATACGCAGCACTGGAGATCGGAGAACCACAGTTAGTGAAACAAGCTACGAAAAAAGTGGGTAGGCCATTCACAATAGGGAACAACGGCTTGACCGGTGGGCGGAGTACTTCAACGAACAGTTCAGCTAGCTAGGTGCTAACCAAATTATATCGTCTGTTGTAGTTGCGGC